AAGTAAATTTAATAAAAATCTTAAAATTTTAAAATGACTAAAATACCTTTTATTTATAATACATTTACCTTTACTTTTCAACCCTACCCTCTACCCGGCTACCCTCTCCAAGATGCCGTTCCATCGCTCCCCTCCTCCAAGACGACGTTTCATCCAAGTCGTCCCTCCCAATACGACGATTCAGGCATTTCTCTCGCTCTCCAAGATGACGATTCCCTTAAAAGCGAGTTTCCATCATTCAATCGTTCAATCCAATAAAGTAGAAAAAGGGTTTTGCACCGAGTGGGGGAATCATACTGTAGGTTGATTTTCTTGAGAAGTGAAAGGATTGCAAGTTGATGTTCTTGTGGAGGATTTAACACAACTGAGATAATGACCATTGCGTAAATCAAAGGTAAAGGTCTTTCCACTATCGCTTATTCATACTTCTCGGTAACCCTATAATTTTTTTTTCATACTTTCGATCTCTCTAGGTTCGGTTTCATCTTTGTGGTTTGCTTTGAGTTTGATTTTGGACCATTTTTATGAAATTTTGGTCCGAGTCCAGGTAAGAGTTTAAATTTTTTGCTTGAAATTATTTCATTGAGTAAGGTTTTAGGCAAGTTATAAGTTTGAATTTAGTTTAGCTAGGTTTTAGGTTTGGTTTGAATTTAGGCTTTTGTTTTCAATTTGGTTTGAGTCTAGGTTAAAGTTTATTTTTGAATCTCCAATGTTTAAATCAAACTGTAAAAGTAAATGATGAATCCCATACACCCTACTTTCACTTGTTGGGTCTTCATTGAATTGGATTTGGCTTGAAATGCTTGGCTCAACAGCTCGTACTTGCTCATGAGCAAACACCATAATAGAGGGGTATTTCAGTTCCAGATCAAAGCAAGAGTTGATTAAAAATATCAGATTTCATTTATGCGAAAATCTACTGTTAAGTTGACAGTTTAATGCAGCTAGCGACATAAGAAGCTGTGATCTTGTTCAAAAGATAAAAATCAGGTTTCACGTGTTCTCACAAGACATAAGAAGCTGTGATCTATTTATGTCATGGTTTTAGTCATTGCTATTTTTTAGATGTAAGGCCTTTTATCTCAAGTTAGGTGGGGTAGGCAAAGGATTAAACTATAAGAAATTATAGACCAGTGAAAGCCAAAAGCAAACATAATGCGGCAAACTCATACCAAAAATTAAATTTGTGGTGAACTCAACATTCCTAATGCTTGGATGACATGGAGAATCACTATCAAAACAACAATATGAGAAATTAATGCTTTGGTGATCAGCCAAGGAATAAGCTTGACATATATTTACCTAAAAATGATGGGAAAAATGATGGTCCAAAGCCTGTCATTGCTTTCACCACTGGAGGAGCCTGGGTAATAGGGCAGAAAAACAGGTACATGTGCTCTCCTAGACATCGATGTGATTTCAAAGAGGAAAACAAGTGCCAAGTCATGGATTAAGTAAGTTGAACACGAATCACTTTATCAACTATGTGATTTTCCTTAGTTCTTTGTTTTTTAACTCGAGCAGCAGTCCTGGAACTTGTAGTAAGAAACAACATTATATACTGATGGTATGACTTTTTTTCTTATCAATCATCTGCTCTGATTTTTTTACTCCCTCCTTCATCTTCTATTATTTTTGTGCTAAATGAAGGTAAGAATCAAAACCCTAGAATTCAAAGCAAAGATTTCTTGATACGAATGCAATTTTAACTATAAATTTGTAATCCTTAACCAGTTGAGTCTGATTCTTCAGAGGAAATTCAGGCTTTGTTTAATGAGGTAACCCCAATTGAACTAAGTTTCCGTTCGTAAGTCCTTATGGTTTGATCATCTTATCTGTTTAGCGATTGCCATTTTTCTAGAAGGTGGATATGATGCACCATTAATGATGTCATGTTGACCAAGAACTTGAGACATGTTAACAATTTGATTTTACTGATGCTTTCATAATGCTTCATTGGGAGTCGGCCATCTAAGACTCACTTGATGGCAAGATGCAGTAAGGGACCGGGACTTTAAAAAAACAAAATTTTGGTGCATAATTGTGTCTTGGGTCAGCTCTTTATGCAAGGGATATATCTCTATTTCATAAGTTTTAGTGCTAATTGTGTCTTGGGTGTTGGCTTGATTGTCAATGCTATGCAATTCAAGAACCTATGAATATTTACAGTGGTGAAAGTATGTTTACATTAACATATAACCTGTTTTCATTTATGTTTTCTTTGTGATCGTGGGCTATGCAGTACATGTAAGCATACATGATAATTTGAATTATTTGATGCAACATGTTAAATATCTGCATGTATTTCTGTTTATGTGTAATTATACATGTTAAGGAAGAACAACACTAGCTATAGTTGATTCAAAATTTGAAAGAGGAGCCATTGAGGAGTTGCAAAATGCATCTGGTGGGACAGTGCAAGCAGACCTTGGGACAGAGCTGACTTGCTGAAAATGCTTGCTCCTTTTAAGTCAATGACTACTAAATATTAATGCAATAATTTTTTTTACTTGTGCTATTCCCTTGAGCAAAAGATTATCTCAAACAACTGAACAAGTAATCATATTAATTTCTGTTGGTAGTTGGTGAAACATTTTGATTCAGTAGTAGTAGAATTACACTTGTAGGAACTTGAAAAAACATTTTTTATGTTCTCAATTGGCGAACTTTTTGACAGAAATTAGTGACATTAATCCTAACGAGCTTCTTTCTTTTTCTTAGAGAGAGATCATCCACTCCATTTTTTACGCTTGTAAGTTAGTCAATTTTCTAGCTGGATTTTTCTGAAATATGTTCTCATGAGCTTCTTACATTTTTGTATGAGAGTGCAGTTGAATATCTTTTCATGAATTTTATATACTATGCACAATCCTATGAGCTTTTGCTAACTAAAAGTTGGAAGCATCTGTGTTTAACTGCTGTTTTCCTCACAATTAACTTTATTTTCAGCAAATGATGGCACAACGATCTTGGAGCAGATGGATGTTGACAATCAAATTGGAAAACTTATGGTTGAACTGTCCGAAGTCAAGGCTACGAGATTGGTGATGGGTTGGTGGGTAGAACTGGAGCTTATAGCAATAGCAACTGGTTTGTGGTCACTGATTGGCTATTTAAAACTAAGTTGCCATTTACCAAACACTTACCCGGGTAAGCGCTTACTGAGTCACTTTATTTTACCGGATGAATATGGCAAGGACTAAAAATCTTACCCAGTAAGAGCGAAGGCAAGAATTGAGAGTCTTACCCGGTAAGTGAGGACGAAAACTCTTACCATGGTTGGCGCTTACCGGGATAAATTGTTGCATACGATGTGTTTTAGTGAATAAAATCTTATCCGATAAATAAAAGATAGTGTTGAATTTTACCGGTAAGTGTTTACCGGGTAAGTGTTTAGGTAAACGGCCCCTAAGTTTTGTGTAATATACGCTGTTACTATAGTTGCTGAATGCCTACTTTCTGCTGCTATTTTTCGTCTTGTCCAGGTTGTAGAATTGTTCCCAGGTTCCAGGAACTAACACCTGAAAAGCTAGGAAAAGTAATTTTGATTCATGTTTTCTTGTTACTTCTTTATACTATGGTAGCACAGATATACTGATGTGAATTCTGGTGATAAGGTTTGTGGTAGCATAGATATACTGATGTGAATTCTGGTGATAAGGTTTGTGATGCTTGGTATTATGTCCTTTGTTGGCAAGGCACGATAAACAATTACTGTACATGTATTGGTTTGCTTAGGGGCTCAGAGTTCTCAGCCCAATTATTGATTATTTATCAATAAATAATTTTTTTTATAAACTGCAGAGAGGAGTTGTTGCATGAGTGAATCAAGGTCAAGTGATTTTTCCACTTTAATGACTATGAAGCAAGGGACTGCTGACATTTACAAGAAGTATGGTTTTTGTTTAATTTGAAGTATGTGTTGTCGGGAATGTAAAGTGCAATAAGCGTATTATAGATTAAGAAGATTGTGTTGTCGGGGAATGTCAAGTGCAATAATTTATTAAAGTTTGTATTGGGGGTTTGTCTTTTGAGCAAATCTGTCAAGAGATAGAACAATGTAATACTAAAGATGCATCGATGAGTACATCTTTTCATATCTTGTGCCTTTTACATTTCCAACCTAATTGTTTTTCTGGTTTTTGAGTTATTAATTCAAGCAAACTAAAAAACTTCATAATCCTTTATATCCGTTGCATTGTGCGACTACTTTTAGTACAAATGTTGTAGGCTTTATAATATCTTGAAATAATTTGATATTTCAAAATTGAATTAAATGTTAATGAATTTTTACATCACATCGCATTGTGCGGATACACAACTAGTATATATATATATATATATGTTATAATAATTTCATGAAATGTTTTATTTTGAAATGATGGATCATTTGTTCCTACTGTGAATGTTCAAAAAGTTTGAAACATGCATGCAAGAATACGCTATTTAATCTGAATATATTTACATTGTAGTGGATTTACACATTGGGAGCAGGTTGTATTGTGATTGCACTGCTCTACGCATAAGAGCACGCCAATTTGATCATATTCATGGCATATAGTTTACAACAATTATGCATAATCGATCGACTTGACCTCTTAAAAAATCAAGGGTATGTAAGTCTATTTGTGGTATGTAAATCTATTTATTTCATATATGTCGTATATAAATATTATATATTTCAAAAAAAAGATTAAATATGTGTGTTTTTTGAAATGTGATTTAAAATGAATGATGCCATTACTTGCATAAACCAACTCAATGGAACCCGAGTCATGATTTGATCATGATTAGCATGCAGTAGAGAAAAATAGAAGATACAGAATTCAAGTCATGATTTTCGTATTTTATTGAAGTTTTGAATTTTACGACTTTTACATTGGTTTATGTTATATATTTAGTTTATGAGAGAGTATGAGTACATTAACGTTGACATTGATATTTAATTCTTGTTTAAAAGCATGACTTGCAAGCTTTAAATTATAATCAAGAATATTGCAGTAATTCAAATAAATAAAATTCAATCACAAAAGAACCATGCACATAACTAGATTTTTACAAGTTTAATTCAAGATCTGATTGTTATATATTTATTTATTGGTCCAACAAACCATAAAAACAAAAGAAAAAGAAAAGATATATATCTTGAATTCTTCTTGGTAATTTGAAGAGTTTATAATATGATATCCAAAAAATGGCTTTTGGATTAATAATACAAGCAAAATCCAGTCATGTAAAACATGTTGAAGTCATACTATACCATATATAATACTAGCTCTTATATCTTCTCCATATTGTACAACAAAAAGGAATCCCTTTTCTGAAACTTTCAAATTGCTCATCAAATAAGCCAATTGACGAAGATAGTGTAGAAGACGATGAAGATTTTGAATCACGATGGATCCACCCCACAAGCTCGGCATCTGAATCACCATCTACGCTACTAACCTTGCCTTTTGCCTTACTACTGAATCTCGTATGATACCCTCCGCCATGATACATTTTCAGCCTCATATTCTTGCTTAATCTCCTTCTCCATGACCAAAACCTCCAAGACCATGGGGAATCTTTCATGTCAATGCTAGGTCGTCGAAGCACTAAACTTTGCATTGCTGGCGACGGAGTTGGTGTTTGTTGTGGAATAACCTCCTCTCGTGGCAGATTCATCGGTTTTCCTGGCTCCTTCTCCCATTGAAATGGAACACCAATGTTGGTGGTGCTTCTATAGTAAACACACGATGATTGGCCAATCGACGAATCTCTAGAGAGAATCTTGTTGATAGACAATGCTTCACCTCTAAGCACAGAAAATGAGGCTTCATTCATGTCTAAATCTTGATGGGTTTTAATTTGAGTTTTTGAATTGTTTAACGAGAAACTTCTTTTAAGTATCGAAAAGTTCATATTTATAATTGGCCAAAAACAATTCTATTTTTCTAAACTCTTTGAAAGAAAGCAGATAAAAAGGTCTGATCCCAAGAATCTAATAACAAAAAAACATATGATAACACATATTTATATATGTATAGAGATGTATGTACATACAAAACAAAGAAGATACCTTATCTAGACTGCTTCTATTTGTTTTCCATGTAAGAATGTTCCTTTTCTTGTCCTTCTTGTCATATGCAATTCAGACAAGGCATATAACCAAAATGTTAATTGATGTTACCAAGAAGGAAATGAATTGCTAAATATACTGATTATGAACAAGATTAATCAATCAGGTTTAAAAAAATTTAGTGAGCGCTTACCATGGTAAGAGTCGTCGCCCTCACTCACTGAGTAAGACTTTTGGTCATTGTCTCGTTCTTACCGGATAAGATTTTTGATCCTTACCATATTCATTCGGTAAAGTAATGTGACTTGGTGTTCACTTACTCGAGTAAGCGTTTCATAAACAGCCCCTTAGGATCGTTTCATAAACAGCCCCTTAGGATCGTTTCCAGGAGTTGGCGGATAGGGTCTAAAATATTTTCGTATATAGTATTAGTTTAAAAAAGAATTAGTAAATAAAATAGATACAATTTTCTTAGTATATAACAGGACCTAATAAAGTTTTGTTTTATATTAAGAGTCCAACATGTATTAATTAATTATATTGTAGAAGAAAAATTAGTATTATATTAAAAGTCCAAACATGATCTATTTTTGTATTAGAATAAAGTAGATCACTTGTTAGTTGTTATTAACCAAAAAAACTCTTATATGAGAGAAAATTAGAAACAATATGAGACGGTTCAACTTAAATCTATATTACCTTTGTTTTTCATACATTATGGACTCCTAATGTAACATCCAATTTCTAATATGCCCAAATTATTTGCTAACTATATTTAATTATTAGGTTAAAGAGAACCTATGATTTAGTGGGAGTTTGAGTCTGAAATTTTAGAATTATACTTCTTAGGAATATATTAGAGGATTTGGGAAAAATTTCACGTCAAATAGATACGTAAAACTGATATTTTGGGAGATCTTTTCTGGAATATTTTTGTTGGATGTTATAGATTATCTCTTTATGAACGTGTAGGCGAAAACCTCATAGAAAAAGGAGGTCCGAGCGAAAGGTTATGAATATTTTAAGTGTTGATAGTCAAAATGAGTACCTAGCCGGGTCAACCCGACCCCACTTGAGTTTTAACGTAATAAATTGGATTTTTGGCCCATTTTTTTCATGTCATTTGAGTTCAGAACTCACACACACACTAGAGGTGCGATTTTCACACATATAAGTGACGGATGCCGACTCCACCAAATAATAAATTCCAACTAACGACTAATTACAACCAAAATTGTAGTAATGTAAGTCGGGTCGAATCCACAGAGACTCGGTCTAACGTTATACGACTAGCGAATCAAGTACACAATGGAAACGTAAAAATACTAACAATCACGAGGGGGGGGGGGTTGGATTTGATTAATTACTCTAAAAATGCAATAAAATATAAACTAAAACAATTGATTAAAGTCCCAACATCGATTTAATACCGGTTAAGATGTTAGTACCTATCATCGATTCCAAAAATGTAAACAGAAAGGACAAGCCTGAATTGGCTTTAATCGTTAACAAGCTCTAACGACCCACATTTTCCATAGATAATCGTTGATTAGAATAAGCTCTCTAATCAACCCTTAACCACAAATACTAGTTTAAATAAGATCTTAAACTCGTAGGTGCGACTAACTTTACCGGACTAGAAAAAATACCAATTCAAAGCCATAAGCTCATAAGCTCGGCTTATCGAGGCTTAAATTGCGAGATTTCAAATTCCATCCGGAAACTTTATCGAAACCAAATGAATACTAGTGTTACTCTATCAAAATTCTAACACGATTACGTATCTAAGAATTCTGAATAACCATTCCATAAGAGAATTCCAATCAGTTAGCTAGACTAATTGAAAACCCAAATACGATAAACAATAAGTTCAGAAATCAAGCAAAAAGGCTTGTTCAAACATGTTTACAATGAAACCTCAAAGCAATAACAAATCAAAACCTAATTAAATCAATGTTGGAATGAACAAATTAACAAGACATGGCTAAACTAGGTTACTGATTCTAAAGGTTTTAGGATTTACCGTAAGAATCAGGAAGATTGATGAGAAAAGGTTGCTGTCTTCACTCTCGCATCCGTCTTTTCCAATGGAACCCACTGTCGACTTCTTCAATCGCTCCCGTGTCTTCCTTCTTCTCCAATCGAACAGCCCCTGCTGTCTCTGTCTTCTTCAATTGAACAGCCGACTGCTGTCCTCGTTCACTCTCGTCTCCGATTTCTCCAATCGAACAGCCTGCTGTCCGCTTGCTGTCCACCTCCTCTCGAACAGCTCCAATTCCCCTGTCGAACAGCCCTCTTTTCTCTAGTCCAATTCCAATCGAACCAACCTCCGTCTCTCTCCCTCGCGACTGTCTCTTCAATCCAACAACCCCTGCTGTCTCTCCAATCGAATTCTCCATCTATAACCTTCGAACCCACGTCTTCTCCCGCTTCAAACCCCACGAAATCGCTCCCTCATGCCCACGAACTCTTGCCGTCTCCTCTCCTCTCGATCCCACGTACTGTTTCCGATCCAATATTGGGAGAGGATATGGGCTTAGTTGGGCTTGATGAAGTCCATAAAAATATTTCTTTTTGGGCTGGACTTCTACAAACAAAAAATAATATAGGTTAAATAAACACATTTTTTCTCACAATGATGAAAATAAAAGGCTTTTTAACCTTAATTTTCAACCAAGAAAATATAGCTATGAAAACATCCCCACACTTAAAACTTTGACCATCCTCGGGCAAACACTACGAATTTATCATGAGTTGATTTTTAGAGAACGGACAAAAATACATAGCATTACATGGAGGTTCGACTAAACCATATTAGCGAAAATTAACACACGAGACGAACCAAAGATGAGAACATGCTAATTTCACAAACACCTCACAAAGGATATATGCAATACACTCGCTCATTCACACAATGGTGTAGGTGTTTTCACTCAAAACATCAATTCACATGTACATACACTACCAWAGTCTTGAATTGGGTCTCGATTCTCCATCGCTAATGGTCAACCTAGGTGTGGATCAAAAAGGTCTTTAGT